TAGGCTTTCTCTCTCCCCATCTTCAAAGATATTTATGAGACAATGAATGATTTATATACTGATACTAAAACTTTAGGTAAATTACCTAATGTACTACTTAATTGGTAAAAATTGTAAAGAAGATCCGTCAACCATTTTTTTATTTTTATTTTTTTTAAATTGTTTTTTGGTCAACTTAAATTTTGTTTTTTTTTTTTAATGAAAAACTAAAAATAAAATAAAAAATTAAATTGATCAAAGGATAATTTTGAAAAAACAATTTAAAAAAAAAAAGTTAACCGATCTTTTTTTATAATTTCCATCAGTAAACAGAGTATTTTGTACATATTCGCTCAACAAAAAGACAAAACTCTGAGATATAGGGTGGCAATCGACTAGGCTTTTAATTTAACCCAACCATTTTTTTTTGTTTTTTCTTTTGATTTTCTTCATTCGCGTTTTGATGGGCCGTAACAAGGTCGGGACCTCTTCTCACTTGGCCAACCGGGCCCAGTAGATCGGCACCCTACAAAGACAGTGAATGAGGAAATAGAGAGAGAAAGGGAGGAAATGAAGAGAGAGAGAAAGAAGACGAGCCAATGGGCCTCGGGAAATGCGGTATACGAAGCTGGAAGGATGCAAGGGACGATCCTTTCTCCTTTAGGAAACTGTCCGCATCGTCACATCAATTGCTCCTTATTTACTACTGACTGCGACTTGTGATGCAGCAAACGTCCCTCTCTCTCTCTCTATCTTTTTGAGTTTCAGTGTCCTTTTCTTCTCTCTCTCTACATTTCTTTCGAGTTCCAATCTACCCCTGTCCTTTTCAATCTGCCTCACCTTTCTCTGATTCTCTCTCTCTCTCTAAACGTTCAAATGAAAGTGCATAATTGCTAGTGTCCAATGACATTACTGCCCTTTGTTGTTGGATATAGTACGCTTGGGTTTCCTAATATTAAACATTTGGTTATTTCTCTTTGTTGCCTAGTGATGGGCAATCCTTCTCTAACGGAATGAAACAAAATTGTTCAACATATGAATATCTAGTTAACATGAATGAATGTTACATTCGCTCAAAATATATATATATACATAATGGAAGAAAATACTATAAAAAACTTTTAGGCGAAAATGAACAATGATTTCGCTTACCTTCATTATTGTCCAAAGTTCATCGCAAGGTCATGATTGTCGGATAGTATTTTATTTTTCATTTTTTTTTCTACAAATCGAAACATCCTGAAATTTAGAGTGTGTGTTCATCAAAAATAGGAGAATCTATAAAAAATATCAAAAAAATATTTTACATTATTAGGTGCGTCTCACTAAGATATACACAAGCTCCAAATTTCAGGTCATTCTGATTTGTAGAAAAAAAAATGAAAAATGAAACACTACCAAACAATCGTAACTATACGATGAACTTTGAATGGTTATGAGCGTAGGCAAAATCACTGTTTATTTTCGCTAATAGGTATTGGGAAAAAATTTTCATATATATATATAGGACCCTCCCCTACCCATGTGTGTAGGACCTCAAAGGATCACCATTAAATTTGGCATGGATCTCTAGAAAAGTTATCACATGGGTGTAGGACTTGACTTTTCTATAGATCCTAGTCAAATTTAATGGTGATCCTTTAGGGTCCTACACACATAAGTGGGGCAGGGTCCTATAGGATCATATATATATATATATATATATATATTGGGAAAGTTTATATAAGGTTGCAACCTTAAAAGGTAGAATCACATATGCACATAAAAAATCGATCAGAAATGTTGTTTTAATGTTGAAGAAACTCTAATCGATAATCTCGACATCGAGATGTATGAATATGAAAAAAAAAAAGTTTTTGAGTCCCGAAAATAGTGCATCCTACAATACATTATTTGGACCTTCCATTTTCAAGATTTTCATATATTTATAAGTCTACTTGATTTTAACCATTTTTTAAATTTAAAATTTTCTATTTAGGTATGAAAATTGATTTTAAGATAATACTAAGTGTTTTTAACCACAAAATTACACATGTTGTATTAAAACTTTAAGGTGCACCTTAATTGGATTGTTTAAGGTTGCAATATAAACCGCAACCATATATATTAATCAGAATGTTGATTTGCTAGAAAGTGGCCGGACTGGTTCTATCTTTTGTGGCACAACTTGATGTCATTTTAGACTCAATTGTCAATTTTGTCTCAGGAAATGTTTTGATAGGGCTGTAGTGCTATAAAAATAATGTGAAGTCTCACCTTGAAACCCACTGAAACGGGAAGGATTGGCATTTGAAAACTTTCAAATCGATCATATGGGCTTCCACATTATGCCCCAAAAATAAAATTCAAGCTCTAAAACTAGTCTATATTGTCTATTTCACTGTAAAAACAAAGGCTCCCAAATTTACAATATCCATACAACTTTTTAGCTTCAAATTTCATAACCATAGTTAGAAATTGATTTTAGAGTCATCATGGAGATTTCTAATGCCCAAACTGCTTTTCGGACAAATATTTGAGGTGAGGCTTTACGTTGTTTTAATAAAGCTTAATCCTTATAGAAAATACATCCTTTAGTCTCAAATTTAAGAGTTCTTAAACAAATAAAAATTATCGATTTAAATGGTAGACTTAGACACAGTTGGGACAAACTAGGCTCTTGATTCTGGCTGCCTTTTTTGACTCAGGTAGGGGAATTTTAATAAAAATGTAAATTAAAAAAAAAAAAAGACACTAATGGGATATGAGTTATTCCATTGTTTATCAACCAATGATGGTCGGAGCTGTAAATTTAATCAGCGGGACTTGGGTGAGGAATGAGTCTGCTTAGTGATCTTTTAATCATTGTGTTGTGCCTATTCTTTTTAGGTGCGGTTTGTATAAGGTTGCAACTTTATTTGTAGAAATAAAGTTGTGATGCCCTACATGGTCAATTTTGTTTGGACGGTACAAATTTAACACATCTTTTAATGCAATACATGGTGTGGCTAATAGTGTGCAATCTACATAATCCAAATAAAATAAATAGTATAAATTAATGCAACCTTATTTTTACACTGTCTAATAGTGTCCAATCCACATAGTCCAAATAAAATGAATATTATAAATTAATGGAACCTTATTTTTACAAATAATGTTGCACCCCTTATATAAACGTTTTTCATTATTTTCATGGAAATCTTTACATGGTACATACATCTCAAAGAAACTTCCTTGTCCAAAACAAGACATTGCACATTATGATGATGCCATGAGTCAAATTGTAGGTATGGTATGTGGCATTTAATCTCTCCATTTTGGAACAGACAGCTAAGATGCTATTTACCTACTACAAAATATGCAACATGATATATCATAGTACATGGTCTTGGCAAAAAATTGCCAGAGATGGGAATTTTGGTTGGAAAGCTTTAAATTGGAATGGAAGAAAGAATCTCTCTCTTCTCTCTCTCTCTAACATATGAGTGGGAATCAAATAGTTAGTTCATATGCATATGTTGGCTCTAAATAGTAGTTGTATACAAGAAGGCATTTACCTGTCAAGAATGAAGGTTGCAAGCACACCAAGATGTTAAGATATGTAATTAGATGCTATAGTGAGTTTTTTTTAAAGAAAAAAGTTTATATAATGTATACTGTGAAGAGAAAGGTGCATCTAAAAACCCACTAGAAAAGGTTGTTCCATTGCTGGAAAACCTTCAAATTGATCATCTCTACTTCGAGATTTATAAACATGAAACAAGGGGATTTCTACTCCTAAAAATAATTTATTTTCTGACACATTATTTGGACCATCTATTTTCAAGATTTTCAAGTGTTTACAGATCAGCTTGATCATCACCATTTCTTAAAATATAAATTTCATTATTGAGGGAAATAATATATTTTCATATCATCACAAGGCAATAATATGGCACCGAAACTGTATTTCCAACATAGTTTTGAGGTCCACCTTACTTCAATAGTATAAGGTTGACACCTTATACAAACCTCACCCTTTTTTAAAAAGCATTTTATGGAGCTTCCTTACACCCCCCTTACTTGTCCATATCTTAGCTCACGAATGAGGGTGATATTGACTTTATTGTACTAAAGGTAAATAATCACTTATTGTTTTATACTCTTCTATTGAAAGGGAAGGGATAATATTCACTGAGGTGTCACTTTTTTATCACAAATACCTGAAGCTCCTGAATGTAAAACATGTCATTTTGCTACACAAAATCTGAAGAAATTTTCTTAAGCACATCCACAACTTCCCAATTTGACAACCAAATAACTGTGACTTTTTATTTGCAAAAGGCAACCGTTGTGCAGTTCTCATGATTGGGAAAATAAAATTCATGAAAAGGTAAACATTTTCTGAAATAAGCATATGATGTTCTCGATGATAACATGATGGGGTTTGTATTAAGCTGAAAATCCAAAACCTTCAACATCTTTGGCCGAAGTGAAGCAAATGTAATAATACTCATTTGTACCACAGGTCCTATCGAAAGAGCATGTGGTTGCCACAAAGGGGAACAAAAGGGGGTGGTATGATTAAGGGTATTTTAGTCATATGAAAATATAGGGCACCAGCCTCTCCTACAAAGAAGAACAAATGGGTGATTTCCAAATGACAACAGTACTTTGAATAAGGAAATTGACTATTCTCTAGGGCTGGCAGCCGGACAATTTTTTTCTTCATTTTTTTCGCATTTTTTGCTAGGTGCATTAGGACCAGCCCGGCTCAGCTAGGGACATGCCTTCTTGGCCCAGGCTAACAAAAGCGGGCTTGGGCAAGCCCCATAAGGATCAGGAATGGGCCAAGCCCAAGCCCGTCTAATTGCCCGCCCTAATATCCTAGTAGGTAAGGACTAAGGAGTTAAGGACCAAAGGGTGAGATTAGTGAGACTAGAGGGAGTGGGGCATATTCGTCATTCAGGAGCTGCAGGGCATTTTCGATAATATGGAAGATGTGAGGGGCCAAGAAGGAAATTTGAGGGGCCATATTTTATGGAGCATGTTAGTATAAAGAAGCGGGGGAGGTGGTCTCTTTGTTTTGAGGTAGGAAAAAAGCATGGATTTTCTTCCGGGATCCACCGACCATCTTTGCTACGTTCGCTGCAACTTCTGCGACACCCTTCTCGCTGTAAATTCCTTAACCCTCTAGAGAGAGAAAGAGGTAGAGATAGAGATTATTTTGTTTGAAAATGATAGGGATACTGGTCATATGATTTGGAAAAGAGAACCTCTTCATTTAGAAATCAGAGAGAGAGAGAGAGAGAGAGATACTGGTCATATGATTTGGCAAAAGAACCTATTGATTTGGATATGAGAGAGATATGTTAGGGAACTGGTCATATGATTTGGCAAAAGAACCTATTGATTTGGATATGAGAGAGAGAGAGAGAGACTGTTGAACTGGTAATCACACATTTACAATAGAGAGAGCTTATTATTTTGTAAGAGAGAGCGAGAGAGAGAGAGGGAGATGATTCTATTATTTCACCTATGAAACATTATTTCATCTATCATCTGGCTTCCTGGTTTTATCCAACACTAATCTTATTTCTTCTTGCAGGTTGGTGTTCCATGCAGAAGGTTAATGGACACAGTGACAGTGAAGTGTGGGCATTGCAGCCATCTCTCATTCCTCAGCGCCAGACCCCTTCTGCAAAATCAGTCACTTGAACTCTTAAGCACTCAGGTGAAACTATCTTAGTTTAAAACCAAATTCATTATTGCAAAAATATTCCTATTAGTTAGTAGCAAAATATTAATATTATACACTAGAAGTAACACTCCCTTTAACTGCGTGGTTTGTGTTTATTTCCTTGTTGATAGAATCATAATTGTCTTCAATTCCTGGTGCAATTTTCCTTTTGGTATATGTTTTGGTTCCATCTTTCAAACTTCTTGGCCACATTTTTCTTTTGCTATATTATAACCCCAATAGCATTTTTTGCTAGAGTTCTTCCCTTTTCCTTGTGTTGAACTTGAAAGAACATGGACAATAGAAAACCCTGTTCTTATTATGCTCATTTATTTACTCTTCTTTATTTTTAATGTATTTATGACCAAAACTAGCAGACCCAAATAGTTAGGATAAAGTTCTGATGATTAATAATCAAAACTACATGACCATTATGATGTTTTATTGTGACAGATGATATCGACCATGAAGGTCATTACATTGTTGGTGACCACGATTAAGAAGTCAATCGCTAGAATAAATTCAGATTAATATTAATGTCAATATAAAACTAATGACATTCATATTATTAGAGTAATCCGTTTTTATTGGTATTCACATTCAACTAAAAGGTGTAATTGCGGAATTTAATGTAGCATCTGTCTCTAAATTACTGTTGTCATGGTTATAGTTCATCGATACATTATCACTTATACCGAAACTTTCTATGCCAATAATGAATGTCCATGTTTATAATGAATGCAATTATGTGTTAGTTCTACTCATAGTTGTAACTGATTATTGGGTTTTTTTTTTATTATTGTTATTCCTTCTTTCTCTTCTTTTTCGTCAATGAAAAAATCCAGAACTTTTGCGGGGATAACAAAAAGAGCCAACAGTCTTCTTCCTCTTCTCCATTGACACCCAACCAGCAGGTTGTCCCAAAAGTACCCAATGTTGTAAAGCGTGAGTGCATTTACATTATCCTCTCTCTCTCTCCTCTCCTCTCT